AGGAGAAATCCGGTCCCAGCACACCTGTCACAGGAATCCTGGAGACATCCTGCCCCTCACAGCACCTTCCAGATCCCCAGCAATGACCCAGGGTGCTGGTGGGAGCTGGCGACAGCTGCCCAATGTATCCCAGCCCCTTCCTGGGAACGTGCTGTGCCCGAGGCACAGGAAGGGCCCCCCCAGATCAGCTCACCTTAGCAGAGCCGAAGATGGAGGCTGTCTGCAGCTCTTTCTCATCATCCTCCTTGCGGGGATGGATAACCAGCGTGATGTGGCAGGTGTTGTCCGTAGCAAACTTGCGGAAGGCACCAACAATGTAGTCCTGGGCAGCGAGCCTGCAACAGCAGCGAGAACAGGGTCAGCGGCTGGCACTGACCGGGCACAGCAAGGTGCTGCCAGGTTCAGCCCCACAGCAGGAAGCATCCAGGGATCTGGGGCACGACAGGGATTGCAGGAAACTGGCTCACCCTTTCCCACCTCTTCCTCCCCAGGGCAGTGACCACCCCTCAATGAAACAGGGGTGCCTGGCAGGACTAAAGGAGACACCCAGCATGTGTCCCCAGCCCCCGCTGTGACACCCGACAGGGCCAGCTCCAGCAACAAGGGTGACGGAGGAAGGAGGGGGTGGCTTGGGGAGGGGTTACCTGTCCACAGAGAGGTGCTCGTGTCCCATCATGAACTGGAGGTTGTCAACAACCACGTGGGTGATGTCATACATGTAGACAGCGTGCTGCATGGTGTCAATCACCGTCCTGGGTGGGGGGAGACCAGGATCAGACACAGGGATGAGCAGAGGTGAGGATGAGGATGCCAAGCCAGGCACAGGGACAGGGAGAGGCGCAGCAGGAAGGGAGCAGGCTGGTGCTGACAGCAGCTGGCCACTGACCACCAGGCCCTGGTCACATCCCACCTCCCCATCTCCTCTGCCACAGGATGGGGGCAGCCCCATCCCCACAGGTAAGGGCAGCTGGATCAGGAGGACCCAGCTGCTGCCCACACAGCCCCTGCCCACCATCCCACGATACCCCCAGCCTGCGGGGACCCTCAGGGCGCACGGGGATGCGTGCAGGCGCCACAGCACTTGATGAATAAAAGGAGCTGGAGGTGCCTGCCCTCCCTCCTCAGCAAAGAGCAGCACTGCTGGGTGAGCAGGGTGTGAGGGGATACATCCTACCAGGGCCAGAGGCTGGTTTTAGAGCAGCCACCTAGCACAGGGACAGGTCCCCTCCCTTCAGCCCCACCTCAGAAGGAGGCTGTCACAGTCCCCGCAACAGCAGGGATGCGGCCGGTTGAGCCACGCAGTCCCCATGTGCCAATCCTGGCACTTGATCGGCCCCAACGTGCCTCCTGCCAACCCCAAATCCGCGACCCACTGCAGGGGAAGAGCCCTGGCTCCCCAAGGCCTCGCAGCACACGCCATGAGAGGTAAATACCACCAGGGATGAAAGTGTGGAACCATACTTGATGTTCTGCTGGCCGTGGAAGGTCATGAAGTAGAGCGGGAGGTCCTCGAAGCGGTCGGCCCATTCGTCATACAGCTCCAGCTGGTCCTCCAGGCGCTGGGTGGCAAACTGCGTCAGCATGATCTTGGCCAGACGGACGTTGTTGATCTCAAAGCTGCCCCACAGCGTGCACACCCCCTGCATGCACAGGTCCAGCGCATATTCGCTGATAAAGGTTGTCTTCCCACTGCCCGTCGGGCCTGGCCACAAGGACAGCAATGGGAAGAATTAGCTGGGGGAGAAGATCTGACCTGTCCCGAACGCACCAGGGGTTGTTTAGAAGTGGAAGTGCCGGGGAGCAGACTAAGAGTGGCCCATCTGCAGCACTCCCACCATAAACAAGAAGTGTCTCATGCCAAGCTGTGTGTCCGGGCACACGTGTGTCACCTCCAGCCAGCGGGTCCCTGGGTGACTGGCAGGCGGGCACAGAGAGGGCTCGACAGGATGGGAGCAGGGGGAAGTCCCTGTGCTGCCCCAGACACGGAGCCAATCCTCAGGCCAGCGTGCCTGGCCCCACCACACCTGGGAATGCGCCTCATTTTTTTTTGACAACCTCAGCCCTCTGCTCCCCCCGTCCACCAGCCGTTTGCCCATCACCTGTGAAGATGGTGAGCTCCCCTCTGCGGTGCCCTTTGAGGAGCTTGTTGAGCTCGGGGAAGCGCGCCCACTTGATGCCGGCCACCTGCTCAGTGTTGACCAGCTCCCCGAACACCTCCTCACGCAGCTGCCGGAAGGAGACGATGGATTTGTGGCTGGCAGGCAGGGCAGCACGCAGGATCTTGGTGAGGTTCAGGCCCTGGTTCAGAGCCTCCAAGGGCCGGGGCTGCAGGTCACTGGGGCGCACCAGGGAGCAGCGCTTGAGGTTCAGCTTGCGGGCAAAGAGCTTGGCGG